CTGGTGGAGTTCCACCAAACACTGAGTGAGTGAGTGAGTGAGTGAGTGAGTGAGTGAGTGAGTGAGTGAGTGAGTGAGTGAGTGAGTGAGAATGTGTGAGTGAATGTGAGATGGTGGAAAGGTGAATGTGAGTGAGGGAGTGAGAGTGAGTGAGTGAGTGAGCCGGTGGAAAGGTGAATGTGAATGAGTGAACAAGTGATTGAGCTGGTGGGAAGGTGAATGTGACAATTAAATGTCATGTATTAAAATTGTCTTTCTAGGGGGCTGCAACATGTTTGTAGCTTTTGGGGGGAAATTGTCTCAAGATTTCCAATGTATTTATTTTTGTTAGTTTACTTTCACTATATACTTCCATTCTTTTATCATACAACAGACTGTGTGTACTAATTCTGTAATATTGTGTAATATTTACACACAGATATCATTTAAGGACGTCTCCTACAACAGAAACAAAAAAATTTAAAATATTTCATAATTGTTTCTTTTAATGTTGTGGGGAGGTGAGCTTCAGTTTTTCTTTCTTGGTACCACACCCAACACTGACATGTTGCCTTAGGGAAGGTGTAGCATCTCCCCCATAAAACAAATCAGTGATATAGATGGACCATTTACAAAAACACCCCCTTCAAATCCACACTGAACACTCACGGTTCAAAACATTAATGCAGAGAAATTCCTGAAATAATTCCATGTGAAATGTATTACTTCACATTTACTGGGCGAGTATTTACTTAGGAAACTATTGTATTAACAGCCTGACCTCCGAGCCGGTTGTAAAAGTAAGGTTGTAACATCCAACAAGTCAGCGGTAATGGCTGCCACCTGGTGTATGGGTGAGGGACGTGGGCTGTGGCCAGGAGGAAGATGAGAGTCACTTGCTGCTACTCACGCACCTTGTAAACACTCATGCACCTTGTAAACACTCACGCACCTTGTAAATACTCACGTACCTTGTAAACACTCACGCACCTTGTAAATACTCATGTACCTTGTAAACACTCACGCACCTTGTAAATACTCACGCACCTTGTAAACACTCATGCACCTTGTAAACACTCACGCACCTTGTAAATACTCACGTACCTTGTAAACACTCACGTACCTTGTAAATACTCATGTACCTTGTAAAAACTCACGCACCTTGTAAATACTCACGCACTTTGTAAACACTCATGCAATCCTTGTAAACACTCACGCACCTTTGTAAACACGCATCTTGTAAATACTCTCATGCACCTTTTAAATACTCACGCACCTTGTAAACACTCACGCACCTTGTAAACACGCATCTTGTAAATACTCTCATGCACCTTTTAAATACTCACGCACCTTGTAAACACTCACGCACCTTGTAAACACTCATGCACCTTGTAAATACTCACGCACCTTGTAAACACTCACGCACCTTGTAAACACTCATGCACCTTGTAAATACTCTCGCACCTTGTAAACACTTGCGCACCTTGTAAACATTACATCACATCCAACATGGCTGCTACAACGGCCATATTGTATACTATACCATATCAGTATGCCACAGTGGCCCTAATGTCAGATCCATGTTGTAAACACTACACCATGATACCCAAGGGGTGGCTACCACTAGGCTACCATCTTTCCTCAATACAAGCTAAGGGAGAAGGATTCATTCTCCAATTAGAACATTACAAATTAGAAAAGTTTTCTCCAGAAATGATTTAATGCTGGAGTTCCTTCCAAGCATGTTTGGATAACAATCAATGAATGTCTGTTATGCACACAGATTTCATGCTACATTTAAAGACGGCAAAACATTCCAGAAAAATATGCAAGAAGCATTTCCAGAAAAAGGGGAGTTCACAGAAAACATGTCATTTCCCAGCTGCTTTCATTCAAGCCCAGACGCTCTTTGATGGAGAAATGTCGCTGAAAATAAACACTCAAAGATAGATTTCTTGTTTGTGTGCAAGAACCGATGCAGTCTTCAACACACATTTTGTCTTTGTGCCGACTGAGCAATGCAGAATAAACTCCAGCCTTACACATGAACTTGGAAACCTCCCCAAAATAAACTTACTTAGTCTCCTAGAACCTGGCCCCATTCTCCTTGATCTCTGTGGCTGGCGAACTTTACTGCCAACTGTGGCTTTAAGATTAAGTCAACACAAGGAATTCACTAAACACTTCCTCATTATATTCTCAAGTGAGATCTTCTATATACATACATCTATTGTGTTTTGGATGGATGGCGCCAAGCCATTAACATTTCATACAATTATCACAATAACATATTATCAGTCATTTTCAGGCAGGAAATTCTAACACTCTTCGTTACCCAAGGTCAGTAATCAATGTACATAAATTGTTGTCATCTCATTTATTTATTTATAAACATTTCTTCTGCTTATCACAATAATATTAAATAATGTATTTACTTGTACATATTTTTCAATAGAATTTTTCTAATGGTTTACTGTTAAATAAACAAATTCAATACACACGAATTTCTGAAATATTTCTAATGAAATACCATCAATATTCTATTATTCATTAAAAAATTGAACATTTCACTACTTCTCAATAGGTTTTCTGTAATTGACTGTCACTGTCAACACCACAATTCAAAGTCAAGAAGATAAATGGCTGTCATTGAATTTTCAGAAATAATTCTTATCACAATCCAATCAACCCATCATACATTTAAAACTAAGAAACTGTAGATTCTTATAAAGATATTTTCTTAAATGGTATTTAACTGTCAACTGATGATATAACCTATCTCTGATTTCTAAAAACAAATTTCAAAGACAACAAAAAATCTTTCAAAGTTGTCACAACAACACAACAGTATAATGACAATAAATAGTAGATATCGGTACTCCTGGAGAGTTGGTAAGTCTCAGTGAACCAGCAACATCCGTTTGAGTGAAAGCTGATGAGTGTGTGTCACGAGGTTGTAGGTGAGAGGGTCACAGTCATTTCGGGACTGCGTACCAACTGTCACCATCACATGGTGTGTCACATGACAACATAGTACTTCCACACAAACTGTGGCATGCAATAACAGTGTTCTCTTCTTGGTTCACATTCCCCATAATACACCCACAGTGGAACATGTGCCACCTTTCTAGGATTTAATATTGCTGTTCCAACACCTCAGTCAACAATAATACAGTTTTATATCGGTGGTCTGTTTAGCATGCAAATATGGAGACCTAAAGTAAACAAACCAATGATTGATATAATGAACATCGTCCCATTGGGTACAATAATACACTATCAACTAGGGCTGGGATGATACACCAACTGTGCGATAGGATACGTATCACGATACTTGCATGTGCTCTTATCTGTGGTGCGGGAGCCATCTTTTTCAAATATGGCCAAATACCTGACACACTGACGATTTAAAGTTGGCAGTATCCGGTATGGCGCATTGAATGAAAATATTTACTTTTTCACTACTCATTTTCACTAGTAATCAGTGTTTAATGTAACATGAATTAAAGAATACATCTAGGTAAGAATTGATACTTTTTACTTAGTGTGCATTTGTGATCGATACTTGTGTTGAGAAGTAAAAAATCGTGATGCTTCGATGTATCGTCCCACTATCAACCTAATCACATACCTCCGCATTCTTGAACATTCTCTCAGCTGCCCGACTCATTCTGACCCATTACATAAATATCCTTTAGATTACTCATCAGGAATGTCTGCCAGTTCACTTTACTTGTTCAGGTGATTGAACATTTGTTTCTCACTTCCCAACTTCCCTATATCCCCTCACACATAGCCCCGCCTAGACTTGCAAGTCTCTAAGGCAATAATTATTAGTTTAAATCATAATTTCTAGATCATATTACTAATAAGAACAAGTTGTCCCCATAAAAGACTGGCGTCCTTATCTAGACTTGCCTATTATATGGATAGAATTACGACACATCCATAGACTTATCTTTCAGTACAGCATTGGAGCAAGGCTAACCCCTACCCACTACCAACAGAATAATCAAATCTGGACCAGACAAACCAGTGACTGATATAACAAGCAACGATCCATTCTATAAAAAGAGAAATAAACCGCACTTATGTTACTTGACAACTGTATCCAATCTTTCCTCACTGATTCAAGTCAATAAGTTGGAGACATCTAATATGGAGGAATCAGGTTAGGTTAATGGAACATTCTGCCTTCTTTCCCTGCAACAAGTTGGACAGTATTGATCAATATGTAGGCGTGTCTGGTGTAGGTAACGTTATGAGGATGCACATGGACCGTTTATGTAGAAGCCATCTGTGACACACTGGATTGTCTGTATTGATTGGAGACCTCTGGGTTCATTGTTACATATGGTTGTTGTTGGTGGTTGATCCAGGCTAACTGTGTCCTCATCATACATCACTCTTCTCCTGCCCCTCTTTAGCTGCTGCAGCAAGATGCATGTGTTTCTGGGGAATGTTCTGAGCCACATGCCCTCATACAATAACACGTGTTACAACACGGAAGTTAAATAGATATATCCAAAACAGAATATATCCTGATAAACTTGGAATTTTCGGAAGCACCATACCATTTAATTCCAGGTGAATCTATCCCTGTATATCTGTTTAAATTGATGACCAAATAATTATAATTAATTATTTTATTAATTCTAAACTATTAAACTGTCCCTGCCGACTCACCTGTTATTTGCCTCGGTCACAGGTATACCCACATCAACCTTTATTCATTAATCATATATGGATGGGTTATGTCCTCAAATTGGATGTTAAAAAAAACAACCAAAAAACCTCACAATATCGCATTTTGGACAAATATAACTGTTCTTTTATTTTATCCTTTTAAACATACAGTATTTCTATTTACTCTTTGCATATTTCATTTAAAAGTATAGCCAACCAATGCTTCAACCCCATGGTTCTGTCAACTGTAATGCATGAGTAATGAACCATATCCGCCTATGTTGTAATATTCGTTATATCACTTCCTGCTTCATGACTAGATGACCTCATTTTACACCTGACATATCATTATTCAACCAAAGCCGTCCCACCTGTTTCATCCAGACTATACAGCTGAAGCTACCTGGACAGATTGTCAGGATAACACATGGATATATCACTCGTCTAGCCTGGATAACACATGGATATATCACTGGTACAGCCTGGATAACATGTGGATATATCATTCATATAGTCTTGGGTAACATGGATATATCACTGGTATAGCCCGGACAACACATGGATATATAACTGGTATAGCCTTGATAACACATGGATATATAACTAGTCTAGCCTGGATAACCGTAATATACTGAGTCAGTAAGTAGTAATTGAGACAAATTATCACATAATTCACTTTTTTTGCAGGGCAATATGTTGACTTTGGACATAGGGAAGTTCCTGCAGGCCAAAATGGACACTTGTGTGAACTTATTTCCTGCCCAAGTTCTGTTGATGGAAATATTTAATTTCCTGTATTTAATTCTGTTTCCTTTCGCTGATGGTTTTTATTTCAGTGAAGAAGAGCATATCATATCTTATCCTTTCTGTGACTACTCATCTATTATTTGTCTATATCCATTATCCACAGCTGGAAATGCTCATGGAAAACTTTCTGCGACTTTCCAAATCTGATGTGGCTGATGCAGACTTTTCAGTTATGTCTTATGACTTGCTATTCTTTCAGTTTGCTACTTTAGCCTGGTTTGAAACCAGAGTCAACCACCATTTCTTTCTCTCAAAGGAGTTCAACAAATATTAGTCCAACTATTAACACTAAAATCTCCTGACAATATTAACAATACAAGTCCTGTCTAGTTTTGGCACAGAGTGGGCGTGACCACTTCAGCAACATAATTCCATGATGATCCATAATTCCTCATATACTGATAGCGAAACAAGGAAATTAACGTGGAATTGAAACTTGTCTGAGATGACTGTGTGCACCATGTTTGTTCCCAACAAATTGATAATCTGCTTACAGATATTTTCCCCCAAAAGTGGGATTTGGAAGTACATTACAAAATCTTTATTAAGGCTAAAAAAATAACAGTCTTGATTCTCAGGCACTGCCCCCATAATCATAGTTCAATGCACATTCTGTTTTTGTTTCCATTTTCATTTGTTTGTTTTTTGGTGCATTGAATTTAAGTATTATGATTTTTATATTTTTGTTTAAAATGGAAATAAAAATGTGTGGCAGACTTTATGATGATGTGGGTGGTGCCTGAGAACCAAGATTGTTATTTTTTTTTAGCCAAAGACACCATTAACTGCTTTATAAGATTGCAGGTTTGGGATAACTTCATAGGCTAGGTTAGGTGTTAATATCTCATCAAGTGATGGAATATCACGCCCAGATATCACTGATTTTAGATTTCCTTCCTTCAAGCATTAAAAGCGTTAAGCAGGACGTTTATTCAGGCACCCCATTATGTATTAGCCATATTTCAATAGTCTATGAAATACCTTATGATAGTAACCTAATATCACTGCATTAAAAACACTTAAAATTATTATGGGGAACAGAAGAAATAGTAATCAATTTTCCGTGGCCTGTTGCTTGATACTAAGTGTAATGCTAGCAGTTTCTGAGGAATGGCAGATAAGAAAGTTTACATAGTGGTGTTGCTGATTTCACTCAGGCAAAATCTTTGAACATTCCATTCAAATGCAAACACAACAAAACACAAGTCAAACTGTCCTTCAATGATTCAGAGGGAAAGCTTATCTGTTGTGAACTGTACATAAGGACATGGTATTTATGATCCTCAATCCACACCAAGTCAGTCAAGATCGTATCTGCTGTCCTTTATACACCATCGTGCCCAGTCCTTTACACACTATCATGCCCAGTAACAACAAAGGAATAACTTTGTGTTTGAAGATGATAAATATAACCCATAAGATTTGGGATATTGAATTTGTGTAGTTTTTCCAAGTCACAACAAAAGCATTTCACCATTTTTATACTAATCTTCCTCCAAAACAAAAAGTGCTAATCCATGTTTTGAAGCCGGAATGCCATCAGTTCCAAGGAAGCTTCTATCGTGACATATGTAAGTCTTTCTACAGTGAATATCCAATAAACACACAGTCTTTGTTTGCCTGTGTGATACAGTGTTTATTTACCTCTCTCCATCCTCATCTGACCGGTGGTCAACATCCACTGACCTCCAACTGATGCCAATACTGGCTTAGTCCATGACTTTGATCCTGGAGCGCCATGACAACCAGTCGACTTCTGTGATAAGCTTGGACATAATCTCATAACACAATACCTGCACTTAGAACAGGTTACTTTATCAGGTGTATGGCTTGTACCATCAAACACTGGTAGCTTTGTTGTTAAAGCTGGAATATATATCAATGCCTTAATGGTGAAGGTCTATGTGTGGGCTTGCCCCCATTCCTAACACTGGATGTTCCAGGACTCGTCAATTAGCCATTCCAGGAAGCGCGAGCTGTGGCTTGGAACCCCATAAATGCTGTGATAACGAGTCTTGGTTTCAGTGCAATACCTGTTGGTTTCACTAAACTAGTTAGCATTAATTGTGCTCTCCTCACACATAAAACAGTGAGTGAGTGAGTGAGTGAGTGAGTGAGTGAGCGAGCGTGAGTTAGTTGGGTTTAACGCCACTTTTAACAGTATGACAGTTATATCACGGCATGTCATCTTAATGTGGGAGGAAAGTCCGAAGTGATGCAGGTCTCTTTCCACTTTGGTTAAACACACAAGCACGGGTATGGTGCTGAGAAAACTTAGAAACATAATCAGGGCGACACACGAATTGCGTTGCCTTAGACGTCTGGGCCACCCGTGCCCACCCACCCCATAAAACAGACACACATTGACATAATGAAATTCTGTTCAGACTGGTGCTACACCCAATTCCTACTTTAGCCAGTAGTTAAAAGCCCCAGTCTAGCAAAATTTTGTTCAGTCTAGTAAACTCAGGAAACGATAGTCACATAATAACTCTAAAATTGACAGAAGATCATGCTCAGCCAAGGATTTGGAACAGTCTGATAGTGTACTTTGCATCTGACCATGGCATGTGTCTTTCTATGTATGGATTCAGAATATTATTATCTTCATCTGTTGGGCAGATGTACATCAGAATGTTCAATATTGATTATCACTTAGGCCATTGCTAAAGCCTTCTTGAACAAATAGTCACACAGTGTTCAATCTCAAAAGGAATATGAAAATCTAAAAGCATAAATGGGTTTCCACAAAGTAAACAGTTCGTTTTCTACGGACTTGCCTGACTGGTGACAACATATAGGCAAACTGTTCACAACAAGAGCCTCGATCCCGGCTGACAGGATCTCTGCAGGATGGGCAGACTGCTCCAGGGTAGTGGTTCATTCATTCTCTGCTTCAGTCAACAAGGCATCTCTGTACTTTGTAATAACAGGTGACCATACATTCCTTGTCTACATTGTCTATCAGCGTGAATGTAATGCATGGTAGGGAGAGGGAGAGGGAGGGGGAGAGGGAGAGGGAGAGGGAGAGGGAGAGAGAGAGAGAGAGAGAGAGAGAGAGAGGGGAGAGAGAGAGAGAGAGAGAGAGAGAGAGAGAGAGAGAGAGAGAGAGAGAGGAGGACAGTCATGACATGTCGCCCCTTGCACCAGTTATCCTATTTACTGTGTGACACTATTATCCTGGCATCATTCACAGCTTCTGGTGTAACCAGGAGGCCAGGGTGGCGAAGGCGCCGCGATTCGCTGTGCAGAATTGCGTCCCTTGGGCATGCCAGAGATGTATGATTGTGGGTTCAAATCCGGTTTCATCCTAATTATGTTTTTAGGTTTGTAAGCACCAAACCCGTGCTCTTATGTTTCACCAAAGTGTTAAACGTCTGAGACTTCAGTCTTTCCTCCCACATTTAGCTGACACACCATGATATAACTGGAATACTGTTCAAAGCGGCGTTAACCCGACTCACTCACTCTGGTGTAACCATCACCCAGTATTGTGTGAAGCCTGAGTGCCCCGGGTATATCCTTCCGTTCATCACTGTATCAGGAGTACAAAACAACTCAGTTCCGTCATTCGTCCTTAGTATTATGACATAGAAGCCAAATAAAAAAAGGTTCTACTTGCAGCAGTAGAAACTAACATTTTTAGTCCTTTAGTCCTCTAGTCCTTAGAATGATAACATATAGCAAAACCTAAAAGGCAAATTTGTACCAGTCCTTATGATGCCTTAATTATTATGCAGTTTGGAAAGGACTACAGGACTAGTGCCAATTTCTAACGCTGTACTACTACTTTTGATTATAATGAATAATTTTAACCATAATGAATTTTGGTTGGGATTATGTCAAGTGCTAGTGGCTGGCACACACAGGCAGGAGCATGTCTGATAATCACCTCACAACTAAAATGGGACTTTACATAGTGGGACTTTATAGTTTGTCGTATGTTAACCACATTGTACCTGGCTATGCACAGAAAATGTAGTCCTTCACAGCATTTATAAGTGTTTGGCAGTTTGTCATCAAGTTTTTTCAATTTAAAATATTTTAAAAAAAATACAAAATATGTTTTCACTAAACTTTCATCTGCTTGTGTCAACAATCATTTTGAACCACGATCAAAATGCAACTTTGCTATTGAGAAATACAACATATCGTGACTTTGTGTATCATCCCTGCCTTCTCCTGGGTAAGAATTCGACACCTCACCCTTCCATGATTCATCCTAAGCCCTCAGGATCAAACTCAACTTGGTCTCTCAGATCTATTTCTGCAGTGTTATAATCTTTTGTCTCAGTGGACCACCGATCAATAGCTACTTTTTCACTCTCTGATGTATTTATTTCAGGAAGAAAACTGTTTCCCCTCAAGACTGTTACACAATCTTACCGCCGGACTTTGAAGTGGTCACAAGCATTCATCTTATTTCCGAACCGTGCAACAACCATGTTGTCAAAGTCAATAACTTCCATTTGATCGCAGTCCATCTGAAGGCCATCGCAGCATAACAGGTAGAGTTTTACTTTACTATATATGTGCAAGTCCTGGGGACTCTTGATAATAAATTGTGGGGTCCTTGGTATCAAAATGGAACCCAAGGTGACCGCTGTACCAACAGCATATGAAATACAAAGCACATGTGATACCTCATACTTGTAACAGAAGGGGGTTTCCGTGTTTGAATTAAAGTTTAGCGAATGAAGAAAAGTGTTCTACACTAACATTGGTCCAAGTTAGCATATTTTCTTAAGGAATAGTAAAGTTAAGCAAATTCAGGTCCGGTGGTCAAGATTGTTTTAGAGAAGAACAAAGTATTTTTGAAATCAGCAAAAGATCAACTCAAAATTCTAAACAAAAGCAACAACTAAACAACCCTGTGTGGTACAGTGGTTTACTTCTGGACTGGTTTTTCATTCTTATTGTGCAATGAAGTCATACCTTGTAAGACCCTTTTCTGTCAGGACCATGTGTATAGAAGCGATCCAACAGGACCAACAGATCTTTCTATGCGATGGTCCTTTGGAGCACCAACAAATGTCAGGGTCAACCACTGAAGGATGAAAAGCATCTGTCACAGCACTGATACAGTGATAGTATTTCTTATCACAACAGAAATAGCAGTATAAGACTGGTGTGACGATCAAGACATGACAATTACATGTCAAACTATAAGCTCTAGGATAGGTCACAATATCTCTTTCTAAGAAAGAAACAGACCCTCAAATATAGACTGATTAACACGGTTAAATCACTGGTATAGTCTGGATAACACGGTTAAATCACTGGTATCGTCTGGATAACATGGATAAATCACTGGTATAGTCTGGATAACATTGTTAAATCACTGGTATAGTCTGGATAACACATGGACACATCATTGGTATAGTCTGAATAACATGGTTAAATCACTGGTATAGTCTGGATAACATGGTTAAATCACTGGTATAGTCTGGATAACATGGATAAATCACTGGTATAGTTTGGATAACACATGGTTATCTCATGGGTATGTCTAAATAACATGGATATATCACTGGTGTAGTCTGAATAAGACATGGATATATCACTGGTTTAGTCTGGATAACACATGGATATATCACTTGTATTGTCTGGATAACGAACTACTGATAAAATAACACATTTCAAGTAGAATGTTTAATTATTTGTGCATCCCTTTGTAAGCAGATCACTTATTTCCTGCATTCCAATACATTTCTGCATTTCCTGTAATTCACGTGTGAGTACTGGATGCTGTCTCTATGCGTCTCATAAAACCCTGGCTGTAGTTTTGACCCTGATAGATCTGACAACTTGATGCCTTCACGCCTTCAGGTGAATGAGTCACAACAAATACGGACAAAAATTGTAACACACTCTGCCTTCATAATCAGCCAGTGATATTTGCTGCAAAGTCACAACTTGGGACCATATTCAAAATACGCAGGTAAGCTCTCTCTGCCATTAACTATTAATTCCTTGTTAAATTATTCATGACTGTCAATCCACCATCTTTCTGACCATTGTTTTGAAATTATTCCTGAGTTGAACAAGGTCACAGACGATAGGCTCCAGTGATGCATAAGGTGTACATGTAATGGTGAAAGGTTTAAGGCCATTAACGGGGACCATTGTTTGACCAATGCGTCTCTGATAAGTCTATTCATGGTCCTTTGTGATTGTTTTATTACTGACTCTATAGCGACCTCTTTGTCTCAGTATGTGAAAGTTGTGTGTCCTTGTGGCTGTGTGAGTGATGTGTCCTTGTGGCTGTGTGAGTGATGTGTCCTTGTGGCTGTGTGAGTGATGTGTCCTTGTGGCTGTGTGAGTGATGTGTCCTTGTGGCTGTGTGAGTGATGTGTCCTTGTGGCTGTGAGTGATGTGTCCTTGTGGCTGTGTGAGTGATATGTCCTTGTGGCTGTGTGAGTGATGTGTCCTTGTGGCTGTGTGAGTGATGTGTCCTTGTGGCTTGGTGAGTGATGTGTCCTTGTGGCTGTGTGAGTGATGTGTCCTTGTGGCTGTGAGAGTGATGTGTCCTTGTGGCTTGGTGAGTGATGTGTCCTTGTGGCTGTGTGAGTGATGTGTCCTTGTGGCTGTGAGAGTGATGTGTCCTTGTGGCTGTGTGAGTGATGTGTCCTTGTGGCTGTGTGAGTGATGTGTCCTTGTGGCTGTGTGAGTGATGTGTCCTTGTGGCTTGGTGAGTGATGTGTCCTTGTGGCTGTGTGAGTGATGTGTCCTTGTGGCTGTGAGAGTGATGTGTCCTTGTGGCTTGGTGAGTGATGTGTCCTTGTGGCTGTGTGAGTGATGTGTCCTTGTGGCTGTGAGAGTGATGTGTCCTTGTGGCTGTGTGAGTGATGTGTCCTTGTGGCTGTGTGAGTGATGTGTCCTTGTGGCTGTGTGAGTGATGTGTCCTTGTGGCTGTGTGAGTGATATGTCCTTGTGGCTGTGTGAGACCTCTTGTCTCAGTGACTGATATCAATGCCCTCTGTAAGCCATGCCAGTGATAGACCTCTCGTCTCAGTGACTGATATCAGTGCCCTCTGTAAGCCATGCTAGAGATGGACCTCTTGTCTCAGTGACTGATATCAATGCCCTCTGTAAGCCATGCCAGAGATAGACCTCTTGTCTCAGTGACTGATATCAGTGCCCTCTGTAAGCCATGCCAGTGATAGACCTCTTGTCTCAGTGACTGATATCAGTGCCCTCTGTAAACCATGCTAGAGATAGGCCTCTTGTCTCAGTGACTGATATCAGTGCCCTCTGTAAGCCATGCCAGTGATAGACCTCTTGTCTCAGTGATTGATATCAGTGCCCTCTGTAAGCCATGCCAGTGATAGACCTCTTGTCTCAGTGACTGATATCAGCCCTCTGTAAGCCATGCTAGAGATAGGCTGGGTGTGTAATGGGAGGAATGAATTACATGGGGTGCACATACAAGTATTCCTGGAATTACTCATCTAACAACACCCTGGCTGACATCCCAACAGGTGCCCTCTGGCAGACAGCTGGAATTGTTAATGTATGTCTCACAGCTGGCGTGTATCTGATATGCATATGTGAGGATCAGTGTTAAAACTAAACTAGCCATTAAGCTTAAGTCATCAATTGTTCATGGCTTTGAAGCCTTTGAAATTGATTTTGCATCGAAAAGGAACCTTACATTATACTTAAATTTTGAAGTAAAGGTCAAGGTCACCTATAGTAAACAGAAAGGTCACATGTGAGAGCTCTGTGGTAGAATATGTCCCCAATATCCCATGTATGTCATGATGGATGACTGACTGACTGACTGACTAGGCTACCCGACCACCCCCATGATGGATGACAAAATGAGGATACCAATGTGTGAAATGAATGACTGTGTGTCACTCAAAATATCATGGTGGTCAGATGAGGGGGAGAGAAGGTGGGAAATGTGGACAGGATTGAGCAGAATAGGGGATGTGGGAGATGGCAGGACGAGGGAAGAAGTTGCACACTCAGCAACATGAACAGAGGGACATTTTCCATGATGATATCCACATCAGCTTTAAACTTTCCCTTCCTGTCAGTATCTGTTTTGGTTTTGTGTAACAGTGTAGCCAATCTAGGTTACAATTTACCAGAGGGGACATTTCTAAGTCTGTAGCTATTGATGTGTGAGATGCTCAGTGATGCATTAAGAAGTGGTCCCTTGCCCCCGGGGGCAGTCCCAGGTGACGCAGCGGGAGAACATATATACCTGAAGCCAACACAGGCACAAGCAGGTAAGGGACTCAGCATTAGTGGTGTCAGAGAAATGCTTTATTCAGGAGATAAACATTATGTGTTTTAAGATTGGAGAGTCTTACTGAGTATTTGAATGTCTGGAGACTTCACTTGAGACCAGTGGTTAGCCAGCTATTTCAAATATCAAATTCCTGGCCACTGTAGTTTTTCACATTTTCTCAGGAAATTAACTCTTATAACCTATATTCATGCACATACCCCAATTTGTTTTGCAAAGACAAAAACCCTTTTGTTTTTTAGTAACATTTAACATTAACAAAAGGTATGGATTGTTTATGAACAGTTTTCAATTTGCCATATCTTCCGGGCGGATGCCAGATATTTGTCAGAATGACAATTTTGTTGACGAGATTGATACTATCTTCTTGAAAGCCTCTGCCACAACACAAGCTGAAGTCCCAGTCGGAAGTGTATGTCCAGTACAGAGATCAGCATAACATCTGATGCTAGAGCAGCAACAGAAGCACAGACTACCATTGTTTCACCAGGAGTCAACATTCCTCCTCAACTTGCATTTTATTAGGCAATCATTGTCACTTAATACAAGACCAGCTACACATGTGGGCTGGCTCTGCAGAAATCCCCGTCTCACTCGACCTGGAATTCCCCAGGAATATTCCCCTGGTCTCAGTACCATGGTCTACCTGCACGAAAGGGAGCGAGCGGACTGCCAATCAATCAGTCAGTGTGGCAGGCAGGCAGGCAGGCAGGCTCTACATCTGACAGCAGGCTAATGCTGGCTGTCCTGCACACTTCCATTCTGCTGCAGCCTGTGTGTGAGTGAGCAGTGTTGTGACCAAGGTAAGGCTTGTCCTATCTCCCACCTTCCTCCATGCTGCCTGTAGAACACTTGGGTAGGGATCACCTTGCAGCTGGCTCCTGCACCACGTGCTTCTGTGCAGAGGATGTACCACTGGGATTATGCTGCTAGATGCAGACCCCACACTCAACATGTGTGAATGAGCATCTATCTTCCAAGTATGTACATGCAGTATTCAGTTGAATTATGTCTTGATATTTTCAATATGATTTGTATGAATGGCCGCAGTCAACCGTTCATGTTGGTGCAAGTATTTCCAGACTGATTCTTTCCTCAACAGTTTCATCATGAATGATGTATTTCACCTGTTGTGTGATACGTAATCTCTAGTTTTGCTGTATCTGTTCATTGATTTCTGAAACATGCCAACCCAAGAACATTGATGCCGATAACTACAACTTCAGCCACTCAAACCAGAGTCAAGAG